TAGGCTGAGGCAGGAGAACCACTGTGAGTTTTGAGACCAGTGGGCTCCATATTGAGTTCAAGTCCAGCCTAAACTAAAGATCCGGGAAGTACCAAGAATGACTCAGGTCCCTAGCCTGAGTGGATAGGGCTAGGGATGTAGCTCAGTGGCTGAGTGCTACTAGCACGTGCAAGGTCCTAAATTAGAACTCCAGAACTGAAGGAAAGAAAATCCTAGTTTAAATGGATGTACAGTGGTACCACTTACTGAAATGGTCTTAGAAATCCAAAAAAAAAAAAAGAGCAGATTTGGAGAGAGAAGTTCAAGATTTAATTTTGGATGACTTCGACCCTTATGAAACATCCAAGTGGAGAGATTAAATAGACAGATGAATATATAACTTTAGGATTCAGGAAAGTGGTAGGAATGAAAGTTAAATTTAGTGTTGATGCTCATCCCTGCCACTAAATTGTGTCGGGCAGGGTTAGGAAGACATGGTAGAAGAAATAGGGACCTGAGTTGGGCAACAGGACACCTAGGTTTTAGTTCTACTCAATTCTGTCACTAAACACCCTTTCTGACATTGTTTCACCATCAGCAATACAAAGAGGTAGGCCCACATCAGGGTTTGTCTGGGATTGAACCCAACGCTTTTGCTAATTAAGCTAATCTCTGGCCTATTTTTTATTTTTTACTTTGAGACAGTCTTGCTAAATTGCCTGAATTGCTCAGGCTAGACTTGAATTTGTGATCATCCTGTCTCGGCCTCCCAGAGTGCTTGAATTATAAGCATGGGCCACCCCATATCTTGCTGATTGGGACTATTTTTTAAAAAATATAATTTCCTCCCCTCCAAAATAAATATGAAAAAAATTATTATACACAATTTTAGGAGTTCACTCTGTTCTTGGTGACTGGTTTGCTTGTTGCACAAGGTATACCAAAACTAAAGTAAGAGCCAGGCGTGGTGGCGCATGCCTGTAATCCCAGTACTTAGGAGGCTGAGGCAAGAGGATTGCTGTGAGTTCGAGAACAGCCTGGGCTACATAGTGAGTCCCAGGTCAGTCTCAACTACATAGTGAGACCCTGTCTCAAAAAACTGAAAAAAAAAAAAAAAAAAAAAAAAAAACCCACAAAAAAACTAAATGTAAGAAAATTGTGGCAGAATCTGACATTATGCTCAAGGAAGGATGAGAGTTCCTTTGATAAGCTTCAGCTGGTATCAGGGACATTCTAGAGGAAGTTATCTGCCAACTGGAATTTACCAGCCAAATGTTAAAGCAGTGCCCAAATCCATGGATTTTAATTAAAATGGGGTGCTCAAAGGATTGAAGGGAGAACTAATTCATGTGTTCAACAAATACAGACTATTTCAATTAGAAGATAATAGCAATATAACTCTGCTGAGAGACTCCCAAGAATATTTAAGAGCAGATGGGTAGCTAATGTTGAACATATTCTGAAAATTGGATATTTAAATGACAGAGTTGATGTGCTTTTAGAAAAGTACATGGGACTCTTACATTGTTTGAGTAAAAGATGAATTATTGACGGTCATCAACTCTATTTTACAGAAGATTGTATAACAAGTGTTTGTGGAGAACAACTCTTTCCCTTAGGTACAATTGATACAAGAACTGTTCATGGCCGGGCGTGGTGGCACATTCCTATAATCCCAGCACTTGGGAGGCTGAGGCAGGCGGTTTGCTGTGAGTTCAAAACCAGCCTGGGATACATGGTGAATTCCAGGTGAGTCTCAACTACATAGTGAGACCCTGTCTCAAAAAAAAAAAAAAAAAAAAAAAAAAAAAAAAAAAAAATTTTAAAAAGACTTTTTCTTTTTTTAATTTGTTTATTTGTTTTGAGACAGAGTGTGGCTATGTAGTCCAGGCTGGCCTTGAACTTGTGGTGATCCTCCTGCCTCTGCCTCCTGAGTGCTAGGATTACAAGCATAGGCCACTGCGTCCAGTTTAAGACTCTTGTTTATAATGCATTCTTGGTGTTGGTGAAGTTTTCCTTTTTTTTGTTTGTTTTTTTGAGACAGGGTCTCACTATGTAGTTGAGACTGACCTGGAGCTCACTATGTAGCCCAGGCTGATCTCGAATGCACAGCAATCCTCCTGCCTCAGCCTCTCGAGTGAAGTTTTCTTTTTACTGTACTTAACTGAAGTATTTTCAGACATGTTGAATCTATCAACTGGAAACTCCTTTTTCCCCACCTCTCTCAATACACTCTTCACCATATTTTTTAACCAATTTATAAAAGACAACTCCTTACTTTCCAAAGTGAATTTTGTAGTTTAATATTATCATGCAGTTTTTTTTGTTTGTTTGTTTTGTTTTGTTTTGTTTTGTTTTTTGAGGCAGGGTCTCACTATGTAGTGAGACTGACCTGGAACTCACTATGTAGTCCAGGCTGGTCTCGAACTCACAGCAATCCTCCTGCCTCAGCCTCCCGAGTGCTGGGATTACAGGCGTGCGCCACCATGCCCAGCTATCATGCAGTTTTTGAGGAGTTGTTTTACAATAGGAAAGTATGAGAAATTTAAAATATTTTATGAAATGTTGCAATAATGTGGATGATTTTAAGTATTGCCATTTCTGTAATTTGGGTGGATTGTGCCAATGTTATCACAATCTCCTGATTTTGTATTATACTTGGTTATTTTGTTGGGGCAAAATCAGTATTCAACAGGAAAGACTGGCACTTAGTATTTGAAAACACTGTTGGTGTCCACATGTCACTCACCAGTCATTACAAAATGTTCTACTGTAGTACTGATAATAAACAGGAAATAAAAAACCTTAAAATAAAAAAGAACCCCTAGGTGGAAAACTATCACATCCTAAAGATATCTGCCCTCCTATGTTCACTGCAGCACTATTCACAATAGCCAAGATATGGAACCAACGACACGCACAATGGACTATTCAGACTTAAAAAGCAGGAGATTCCACACTATAGATAACATAGGTAAACCCTGAGGGCTCTGTGTTAAGTGAAATAAGCCAGACACTGAAAGAAAAATACTGCAGGATCTCACTTTTTTGTGGAATGGGGTGACTTATGTTACATAGCCAGACAACCAAAGTTTAGGAGGCTTCCAGGTATACACTTCAAACATTTCTTGGGCCCCTAGGTTCCCTAGAGTACATAACATCTATTAAACCAAGGAAAGTCTGGACATGTTAGTGCACACCAGTAGTCCCAGCACTCAGGAGGGGAGGCTGAAGCGGGAGGATTGCCATGAGTTTTGAGGCCAGCATGGGCTACATTCTGAGTTCAAGGTCAGCCTGAACTACACAAGCCCCGTGATCCTGTCCATCCTACTGTGCCCTTTGCTCTGAAAGCTCTCCCATCCCATAACCTGCCTTTGCCCAGGTCTCTTTTCAGTAATCACCTGTCCTCCTGTCCCCAGGGCACTCAGACAAAGGCATTCTTGTTAACACAGACCTGTTAGGTTTCCCTGGTAAACTGCAGGCTTTCCGTACCATGTCTCAGGAGAAAAATGCCAAAAAACAAAAAACAAAAACAAGGAAAGGGAGCAATTAATTCACTTTCAAATTCTCCCTACTTGTCCAGAGTAACTGCCTGGCACCTCTCTCTTCCTCCTTTCCCATTTTCCAATAAATTGTCTTCTTTTACTTTAAAAATACATAAATCAAAAAAGGGACACTAGCACCTACTAGGCCCTAAATTTTCCCTTACTTTTTGCCCAAAAGTATCCCTCGGCATGAAGTCAGCCAATGTACCCAAACTGAAAATGGAAATAAGCACTGGAAAGGAGAACTGGTTGACAAGAAAGAGAATAAGCAGTAACCCCTAGGGTCTTTCTCAAGATTGCCACCTACAGTTCAAGGTTTATTTCCTTGTACTTTTTGTTTCGTTTCAGACAAAATGAACTGTACACACGCTTAGTGTCCAGTACCTAATAAACATTATATAGATGTTCAGCATCATTAATACTTTAATATGAAAGACTTATGACACTTATAATAGGTGCATTTGGTACTTCATAGATAACACTTTTTTTTTTCTCTTTTTGGTACCGGGTTCTTGCACTTCCGAGGTAGGGGGCGGAACCACTGAGCTAAATCCTGGCCCGATAACACTTCTTTTTAGAGGTACTGGGATTTGAATCCAAGGCTACATTGCCTAGCCCATTTTTTGATTTTGAGATAGGGTCTCAATAAGTCCCTAAATTTCCCAGGCTGTCCTCAAATTTGCGATTCTCCTGCCTCGGGCTCCCAGAGTGCTGGGGATACAGGTGTGCATTGCCACCTGGCTCCCACAACTTCCACTTGAAAGCTCCCTCAGACCTTGAGCAGGACAGTCAAGAAGTACAGGGGCACTGATGGGCATTCATTTGCATCCCATAAATTATCAGCCTCCTCTGCCTATAATGTTACAACTATCACTATGAACCAGAGGGAAATAACAGAAACCTCATGTACAGCTTGATCCACACTTGCCATACCCTTCGGATCCTGTTTTTGGCCCACTAACTAGCGCATCCCGAGAGGACAACACCTGAGTATCTGGCCCTTGAAAAGGGTCAATAGGCTAGAGACAGCAGGGTCTCGCCAAACTGGGGATGAAGAGGTAGTGGAGCATCTACTCCTTCTTCGACTCCAGATTTTACGGGGTGTTAAATCAGCCTGCAAAAGAGACCAAAAAAGAAACGTCCTAGTCCCTAGTCATAGGAGGGCAGAAGTGGACTAGGAGTCTGGGGCTGCGCAGTCGCAAAGAAGAGGTCAGACTTCCCTCTCAGGCTCACCGTCGCCTGCCTCAAGCAGAGGCCACAGAGAGGGTACAGCCACCCCGCGCGAGAGCCTTCAGTGCCACTCTCCTCGTGAATCCTTCAGACTGTCCAGGAAGGATCTGAGCGCCCGCCTTCTGAGGTCATAGGGCCGCCCCACGTTCCCTGTCCAGAATCCAGCCAAACCTACAGAATTGGTGCCAGCAGCGAGGAAGGGCTGCTAGGCCGTCCTGGATCTGCCTTCCTCGCCACCGCTCTCACCTCTTTGTCCGCCGCCTGCTCCTCAATGCCTAGCAGCGCGTACAAGTCCAACTGTAAGAGCTCCTTGGTCACCGCCATGGTTCCAGCTGACTAGATTCGCACTACAACTCCCATGAGGCCAAGCGCGGGGGTTTCTGTTTCCTGGCTGGCCGCACGTCCCTAAGCCCCCTGGGAATCACTGAGTTCCGGTTCCGAACTGACTGACTGAGGGAGCGCGCAACGGCAAGTGAACTACGACTCCCAGCAGCCTCCGCTCCCTCCGCCTCCGAGCTCTGGGAAACAACCCCCCACCCGGGAAACACCCACCTCCCACCCCCCGCTTGCGCGCCTCTTCGGCTGAGGCCAAACGCCTGGAGTGGGTTAGGGTTAGGGTTAGGCAAGCAGGGCTAGTGGGTGAGGGTCTGAGAGGCCGAGGTGTGGCCCGCCCGACTTCTGCCACGCGGATCCGACTGCACTGGGCGATACGATGGAGAATAGGTGCTACGGCTGCGCCGTCAAGTTCACCCTCTTCAAGAAGGAGGCGAGTCTTCTCCCCAGGGCTGGAGGGCCAGGGAGGACGAGGAGCGACGGGAAAAGCGTGGGACTTGCAGGGCAAAGCCCGGGTTTTACGGCCTCTTTTCAGCAATATGGTTTTTATGAAGTCATTGAGCCTCAGTTTTCATTTCTGCAAAGTGAGGCTAAGGCTTCTTCTTTTTTTGCGGCCGATGTGAGGGTCCAGAGAGGTGCTGGAGGTGAAAGTACCCTATACATTGTTTTTGTTTTGCTTTGTGAGTCAGGAGTGGTGCCAGTGCGCTAAATACCCAGCTCTGTTTGGGGTTTGTTTGTTTGTTTTGTACAGGGGATCGAACTCGGGAACTTGTGTTTGAGAGGCAGGTGGCGGCATCACTGAGCTAAATCCCCGGCCCAAGTACCCTATACATTGTAAAGCATGCTGCTGTCATTTTCATAAATCTACGTCTTCCTCAGCCTATTCCTTCCCACAGCGGTCTTTAATACTCCATGACCCTGTCCGTCCTACTGTGCCCTTTGCTCTGAAGCCTCTCCCGTCCCACAGCCTGCCTTTTCCCTGTAAGCCACCTTTTCAGTAACCACCTGTCCTCCTGACCCAGCGGGGGCACTCAGGCAAAGGCTTTCTTGTTAACACAGATCTGTCAGGTTTCTCTGGTAAACCGCAGGCTTTCTGTCTCTCACTTGTGGCCAGAGCATCTCACCAGAAGATGATGGAACCAGATGGGAAAGAAGAATTAATGCCATGTAAGGAGACAGGACCAGGTAGCTCTTAGATGACAGGATTCTGGAGTAGGTTCAGGTGTGACCTTTGCTGTTTTACAGGATGACCTTTGTTGGAGCCAGGCATGTAACTTTTCGGGCCTCTGCTGAAATAGGGAAAATAATGGTGAACATCAGAATTAAATAAGACAGTGTGTGTAGATTATTGGGGCTAAGTCAAGTGATGAATGTTAAGTACTAAACTTAGTGCCTGGCTCACAGTAAGTGCTTAGTGGTAGCTATCAATCTCATCCCATTCTGAGCCAAGTTCTACCAGAGTAGGAAAGGCATGGATGGGCCCTGCACTCTCAAGATTCTCCTTTGTTGGTCTCTGTTGACGATGCCTGCCTGGAAAGCACAAGGACTCCGATCCCTGGTATCAAAACAAAAAAACAAACAAAACAAAAAACAAAATGATTCTCCTTTGTTGAAGAATCCATAGTCTGAAGCACAAGGCTTTGCTGGTGGCAGGCATTAAAGATGTTAGGAAGCATGGCAATTTTGCAGAAAGATTTGTGACTTGGATAAGATACTGGAAACCAAGGAACTGCTTTACTCTCTGTCCAGTCTCTCCCTAGACCTTAGGGCCCCACTCTTCTTCCTCTTCCCAGCAACTGAAGAATTGTGAAGACACAATTCAGTATCTTCTTTCTGTATGTACTTGAAAGTCCTAGGGAGGAGCCTAAGGGCAGGGTGAGAGGTGGATCCTCCTGCTTCATGTGTTTTGTAGTACGGCTGTAAGAATTGTGGCCGGGCCTTCTGTTCTGGTTGCCTTAGCTTCAGTGCAATGATCCCCCGAACTGGCAACACCCAACAGAAAGTCTGCAAGCAATGCCACGAGGTCCTGACCAGGTGAGAGGCTGGCATGGGTGAAGGGTCAGCTAAGCACGGCAGTGGACTTCTGGCCATCAGAGGTCAGCCCAGGTAGTGTTTGGGGAGGGGGGCCCTGACTGATGGGATAGCAGGCTTTCTAATGCCAGATTGCTTCTCTATAGAGGGTCTTCTCCTGCCAATGCCTCCAAGTGGTCACCACCTCAGAACTATAAGAAGTAAGTACTGAAGATAAAAAGAAAAATGGGCATGGAGAAAGGACACCGGAGCTATGGGTAGAACTCTTCTAGTCTAGATCAAATGAATGCAGAGTCAGAATACCCACCTTAGGTGGACATGGTAGCACATGCCTATAATCCCAGTACTCGAGGCTGAGGCAGGAGGATTGCCATGAGTTCAAGGCCAGCATGAGCTATGCAGTGAGACTCTGTCTTTAAAAAAAAAAAAATACCTACCTCACAGGCTGTTGACTGCCCATTTGTGCTCACAGCTCAGCAGCCCTCTCCCTAAAGAAGGCACTTGGTAGATCTCAGCCTCTCAACCAAACCCTGGGCCTGGCCAGCAGGGTTGGGTTGCAGAGTAACATGAGCAAGGGCCATGGAGGATTGCCCACTGGAGGCCTCCCTAGACATCCAGAAATGATTTGATGGGAAACTGAATAGATGCCTTTAGTCCTACTTTCTGCCTTCAAGAGCCTGTATCTTATATCCTTCCAGGCGTATAGCAGCCCTGGAAGCCAAGCAGAAGCCCAGCCCTCTCCAGAGCCAAGGGCTGACCCAGCAAGACCAAGTCATCGCTGAGCGCCTAGCACGGCTCCGCCAGGAGAATAAGTCCAGTGAGTAGGAGCAAGCAGGATGTCCAGAAAGACAGTTGGGGGCTTCTGGAACTGGGATTGCTCTGGTCCTTACAAGGATCTTCCCCTGCCAATTGTAGAGACAGTGCCCTCACAGGCAGAGATAGAGGCACGGCTGGCTGCACTGAAGGATGAATCCCAGGGTCCCATCCCTTCCACCCAGGAGATGGAGACTCGGCTTGCAGCATTGCAGGGCAGAGCTCCACCTTCTCAGACCCCTCAGCCGGTGAGTGCTATGGTTTGGGAGGGAAGAGATTCCTAGGGCAGGGACCTTGCAGAAGCCCAGATATGTGTTTGGTCATGTACTTTGCAGAAGTTGGTAAAGCCTTCCACCCCTACCTCCTGAACCTCAGGTCTGCTGCCAGGCCAAGTAACAAGCAGCAGGATTGACTAGGTCAAAAAAGAGCAGATGTTCAGTTCTACTGGGGTCTCCCAGACTGACTTGACTATGGGCCTTGAATTAGTCTCCTTTCCCTGGACTTTGAGAACTTCTTACATTCACTCCTGACCCAGACTGCTTCTAGGCCTTGTAGTGTAGCTTTCCCCTCCCCTCATTCCTCACTGAGGTTCTCTCCTCTGGGCAGGCACATCAGACACCAGACACCAGAACACAGGCTCAGCAGTCACAGGATCTGCTAACACAGCTGGCAGCTGAGGCAGCTATTGATGAAAGCTGGAAACAAGGAGACACAGGTAACCCCTCTACTTGGCTCCTCCAGGGACATAGCCTTCTTTTCCCAGATGAGAGATGCTCTGCTGTCCACCCTTTGGGGAGATGAATATAAGTCAGAGTGATCAAGGGCCAGGGATTTAGCTCAGTAGTGCTGCACCTGCCTGATAAGCACAAGGTTCTGAGTTCAATCCCCAGTACCAAAAGAATAAATAAATAAAAATAAATCAGAGCAGTCAGTATCATAAGGGCTACCATTTATTGAATACTCCAAAGAAAACCACTGTAGGCCTAGTAGTTAAATACATGGACTTTGGAACCAGACAATGTATCCCTGTTCTATCACATGCTAGCTATGTGACTATGGGCAAGTCATTTTCCTCATGTATAAAAAGGATGTATATGTTATTGCCTACCTCTTGGCTAAAGGGAGGAAGAATTGAGATCATCCAGTAAGCAGTTAGCCCATAGTGAGTGCTCAGACAGTATTCTCTGCAGTGATGGTGATGGTGATGGTGATAAGGATGAAGGCTATTGTAGCTTTCCCTGATAGACCATGCTGTGTTTCCCAGATGCAGCATATACTTTATCTCGGCTCTCTCTCCCTTTTTTTCTTTAGCCTGAGCTTGCTCTGTACCAGCTTCTCTCTCACTTTTTTTTGTTGTTTTTTGGTAACTGGGATCAAACTTGGGTCTTTGTGCTTGCAAAGCAGTCACTAGAACCACTGAGCTAAATCCCTGGCCCTCTCACTTTTCACTTTTCACTTTTACTTTCTCAAATAAACTCTGCCACTGCTTAAAAAAAAGAAGAAGAAGGAAGAAGAGGCTGTTGAAAATTAAGTTCAATTTAGTGCTGGGTGTTTAGCTCAGTGGCACTGTGCCTGCCCCAAAAGCGCAAGGTCCTGAGTTTGATCCCTGGTACAAAAAAGAAAAAAAAAATTCAATTTAAAGTTCAGTTACTTAAAATAAATAAATACATAAAGTTCAGTTGCTTAGTGGTGCCAGCCACATTTCAAGTGTTCAATACCCATGAGAGCTCCTGGCTGCCGTGTTGGACAGCACACATAGAACACAATCATAGACAATCCCGTTGGACAGTGCTATTTGGAGGCTTTAGAGCAGTTGTTATCAACCAAGGATGATTATTCTCTCTGGACTCTTTCATAAATGTCAAAGACTTTCTGGTCATCACAACTCAGGGGAGAGAGTCAGCATCTGGAGGGTAGAAGCCAGGGATGCTGCTAACATCCTGCAATGCCTAGGTCAGCTCCCTCCAACAGAGTTATACCACTCCAATGTGTCAGTAGAACTAAGACTGAGAAACCATGCCTTACACAATCTCACTGAAAATCAATAATCTTGTGTTATATGTTATCATCCTTATTTATAGGTAAGGAAACAATTTGACCAAGGTCACACAACTCTTGTTTTTTTGGTACCAGGGATTGAACTTGGGCCCTTGCGCTTGTGAGGCAGGTGGCAGAACCACTGAGCGAAATCCCCAGCCCATGGTCACACAACTCTTAAGCAGCAGGGGTGGGCTTTGAATCCAAACCTCTCTGGTTTCAGGTCTCTTGCTCTGAAATGTAGGCTCAAGGTGACCATAGGTGAGCCACACCCACTCTATAAAATTCTTCCTGCCCAGTGATATACAAGACCTTGGCCTCATTCAGGCCCTCTCTGTGCTGCTTCAGGGAAAGACTAATTCCAGCTCTGAAAGGCAGAGACTGGCTACACTTTGGCTTCCTCATATCTTGATCTTTCAGGGTGGTGAGTCTCAAACCTGTATCCGGTAGGAATGTATGAGAAAGATACCATTTGGAAAAATAGAGGAAATACTAATTTTTTTATTTATAAGTCATAGGTGCTAATACTAAGCAAAAAGCTGATGGTGTATGAAAAGTAGGCTAAGTGTTTTCTGGGGAGAGATCTTAGAGTGCCTCTGCCTCCCTAATGCATTACTCTTTCCAGGTGTGGCCTCTCTCCAGAATGACCTCAACCAGGGTACTGAAGGGAGCCAGCACACTAAGTCCCTGGGGCAGGCCATCTGGTCCCTGGAAGAAGAGAAGAGCAGGCTTCTGGCTGAGGCAGCAGTTGAGCTACGGGAGGAGAACACCAGGCAGGAGCGGATCCTGGCCCTTGCCAAGCGACTGGCTGTGTTGCGGGGACAGGACCCTGACAGAGGTAAAGACTAGAGTGAACCACTCACTCATGCCCATTGGTCAAGGCCTGCCTCTCTGCCAGGACAAGCTGTCCCTGCTAAGGCTGAGTCAGGGGCCAGGGATCCCTGTGCCCAGAGCCCTGAGGAATGGACTAGGGCACTCACTGATAGTAAGCTGATGGCACATGTGCCCCAGCAAGCTGTTTGTATCATTGAAAGCTCTAAAAGATTCGCCATCCCTGGACTAGGGCAAAGCAAGTGGATGAAGAACCAGCGGCAGCCCTCAAAGGGCAGGAGGACTTTCAATCAATCCCTTGAGGTGCTAAGGCCTCTTTTCCTGTTCTCATTCCTCGGGGTTGCTTCAGTGAGGGCCCATCCTTGCAGGGTGGAGCAGGGAGAAACAAGGTCTGGTCAGGCTGACTAATGAGGCTTCTCAGCTCTGGAACAAGAACCCTGGGAAACAGACCAGTTCTGGAAGAGAGGAGGACTGCCACTCAAGTGAAATCTCTCACCCTCGCTCCTCCTTCCCCTGTTCCCATCTCTCCCTTATTCAAGTGAGCCTCCAGGACTACCACCTCCCAGCCAGTGATGAGGACGAGGATGAAGAGACTGCCATCCAGAGAGTCATGCAGCAGGTGGGCCGGGTTTTTGCACCCAACTACCTGTGTCCTGCCTGTCTCGTACTTCGCCACTTGCCTGGCCCCTTTCCCCTGGCCCCATTCTGGGGCTCTGTAGCCAATCACTGCACCTCATATCTAGGTGGAGTCCTCCATCCCTGTGAGCAGGTCCTTCTCCCTGGTCTTTTGAGATGAGTATCAGCAGCCTCAGGCAAGAGGTAATGGAAGAAGAGTTGAGAAGCTGAGGCTGCAGAGTACAGAACTACAGAAGAGGAGCATCATCTAGCTCCAGAGCAGGAAATGATACCTTTCCCCCTACCCACAGCTCACTGAGGAAACTGCCTTGGATGAGGCAAGTGGCTTTAACATCCCTGTGGAGCCAGCACCCCGACACTGGGCCCAACCCTGGAAGGCACAGCCTGAGGTGAGAAAAGCCCCAGACACACATCCCCAGGCTGCCTACAGCCTTCCTCCCTGCCCAGCTGACTGTTCCCATCGGATACCTTACTTCCCCCATTCCTTCCAGTCCCTGAAGGTCCAGCCTGTGGCTCCTAGGCCTGAGGCTGAGGAAGAGGAGCTCCCCTGGTGCTGCATCTGCAATGAGGATGCCACCCTACGCTGTGCCGGCTGTGACGGAGACCTCTACTGTGCCCGGTGCTTCCGGTGGGTACAGGTAGAATTTTCTGTGGGAGGACCCAGGGCCCGCCCTGGATCCCTGACCTTTAGCTCTTTGCTTCACAGAGAGGGCCACGATGCCTTTGAACTTAAAGAGCACCAGACATCTGCCTATCGTTCCCCACATGCTGGCCGAGAGCACTGAGAAAACCCCAGTTCTCCTGGGCAGACAGCCCTGTAGGCAGCCTGCAGGCTGGCACCCCCAGCCCTAGGCCATCCAGTGACACAGCAGCTCAGGCTCTACTGATGATGGGTGTGCCCCTGCTGAGCCTTGGTGTCCCTGGAAGGAGGAAGAGTTTCATGTGAGACGATTGGAGGAGCCTGAGAGAAGGACAAATAGAGGCCCTTCTCCAGGAATCCTGGACTGAAAGTGAGAGGCCTGATAGAAAAGACCAAATTGAATCTAAAGATGAGCCCTGTAGCCAGGCTTCAGGGCCCAGGGCCTTCCCTGGTGTGTAGTGGATCTAATAAAGTATGCTGATTCTTTGGGCTCAGTGTCTGTCTTTGTTGGTGGTGCTAGGGATGGAATCCAGGTCTTCCCTCTTCTAAACACGTGTCCCACTGAAACCACCGCCCCCCCCAGCATCTCTTACCTCTAGAATCCTGTGGGTCCTGAGCCTGGGCCCTGTGAGAGGTGACAAGAACAATGTAGGCTATGAGCATAGTCCTATGGATGAGGGAAAAGTGTGGCATCCTGTAAGTTTCTGCCAGCCGGAACAGCCCCACCCATCCTGGTGGCTTTAGGAGCTAAGCATGAATATTCATTCAAGTGAACTGTCTTCCTGCTATGAACAGCCCAGCTTAGCCTCCAGAGATTCCATATTGGATTTCTCACCTCTCTAGTACCCAAATTGCATGTAGGAACAATTTTGCAGACATGCCTGCTTCCTGCCTTATTCAAGGGATCCCTACCTTCCAGGGCTCCTGCCATTCAGACCTAGTATGTGTCTTCCAATAACTTCCTCTGACCTAACTTGTACCCTGTACACTCCTCAGCAAGGTCTCCATATTTCCTTCCTGCTCTTGACTGGAACCAACTCAAGAAAGAGACCTTAACCTGAGGCCTCCTGTATCAACTGAGGAGAAAGGATTAGCCTGGGATGGCCTCAGATCCAGCTAGGTATTTACCTCTTGGGATTCACTAGTCTTGGCCACTTGAGCCTCTTTGCTGGTGATGCCATGATGATGTGTCTTAGCCAGGTATCCTTGGCCTCTGAGCTTTACTAAATTGTGATTTTTTTTTTTTTTTTTTTTGGTACTGGAGATTGAACTCAGGTCCTTGCGCTTGTGAGGCAGGCAGTGGCACCACTGAGCTAAATCCCTGGCCCACTAAGTTGTGATCTTTTCAAAAACAGCTGTGACCTTCACCTTTGAATTCTCAAGACCTATTGGCATAGATGAGTGGGGAAGTTGTGGGTACAGCCTTAGGATGTTGTTCTTAGGGTTTCACTTCACGCTCTCCCGATCCTCAGCACAGACATAGCCCACACTCCATTTAGCTGGGTCTCTTTAAGTTTTTATCCATATGGCTGCCAAGGAAAGCACTGGGTAACAACAGGTAGGACTAGCTCAGCCCAGCCCAGAGAACACAGCCGTGACTGCACGTACACACAAGGTACACAAGTGTCCTTCATCTTCCTTTATTCTTGTTTGGGTCCCAAAGAGCCGCTTCCTGCTCATCCAGGATCCGGGAGTTCACGACAGGCCTGGCAGTGTGGAGGCTGCCCAGGATGGTCTCTCGGGGCTTACTTCTGAGGCCGGCTGAGTCTCCGAAGTTTTTTGAGCTGACTAAGCAGCTCAGAGATAAAAGGCTGAGGGGTAAACGGGAGGGAGATCAAAGCATGGGGTCATGGCCATCTTCCACCCTGCCCTTCCTAATCTACCCCTGACCCTACCTCCCTAGAGCCAGAAAAGGGCAGAAGGAAGAAGGCTGAGCCTTCCTTTCCAATGCTCCTTTTCATCATCTTCATTAGCAGCCCTCCCCCAGGCCTGCTCTCGCCTCCAGACCAGCTGAACATCCCTTACCTCAGTGGGCCGGGGACAGTCTCGGAGAATGCCCTGGGAAGAAGAGAAGGGTAGAGCACTTTCCCACACATTCATTCCTCCATATAGGTTCTCCCCGCCCGCCCAAGGAGGCAAAGTCTGGGTTCTCGGCTTGCCCTGGGTCCAGGCCCAGCCACCAGCCCCTGGGACCAGCTTCCCATCCCACCTCCAAATGAGTCTTCTGCTCCTCAGTGGAAAGTTCCATGAGAGCCTCCAGGTCAATCTCCGGCTCAAAGGGGTCGGCTTGATCCTGTTTGGGAACAACATGGGTCACTGTCAGGGACTCACTCATCTCCAAACCCATCCCCTGTGATGTCCCATGGTCAGCCCTGCTCCTCACCTTACTCAGAGCATCCATTCATTACCATGCCACAAACATTTACCAAACACCCATATGTCACCTTAGGGTTCTTTAAAAAGTGTCTATTCTTGCCAGGTGTGGTGGTGCACGCCTGTAATCCCAGCACTTAGGAGGCTGAAGCAGGAGGATCAGCTCAAATTTGAAGCCAGCCTTCAAAAAGAAAGAAAGAAAAAGAAAAACAAAACAACAATAACAAAAAAGGGAAAAAATATCTTTTTCTTTTTCTTGAGACAGGGTCTTGCTATATCTTCCAGGCTGGGTTTGAACTCACTTCGTAGCCCAGACTGGCCTAAAACTTGTGGCAATCCTCCTGCCCCAACCTCCCAAGTACTGGGATTACAGGCATGCACCATCACTCCTGGCTAAAGCATAGCCTTCCAATATTGTTTGTTTTGTTTTGTTTAGTTTTTTGAGTCAGGATCTTGCTTTGTAGTTCAGGCTGGCCCTGAACTCACTGTGTAGCCCTGGCTAGCCTTGAACTCCAGGCAATCCTCCTGCCTCAACCTCCCAAGTGTTTTTTGTTTGTTTTGAGGTAGGGTCTCACTATGTAGTTCAGGCTGGCCTTGAATTCACTATGTAGCCCAGGTTGTCCTCGAATTCACAGTGATCCTCCTGCCTCAGCCTCCCCAGTACTGGGATTACAGAAGTGCAGCACCATACCCTGCCCTATTTTTCTTGTTGTTTTGTTTTTGTTTGTTTTTGCAGCACTTGAGATTAACCCAGAGAATGTCAAGTACAGCACGCTCTCTCCCTCCCTCCCTCCCCCATCATCCTGAGGATTAAACCAAGGTCCTCACATATGCTATGCAAGTGGTGGTTTACCCCTGAGCTATATCCCCAGCTTTTCTTTTTTCTTTTGAGACAAGGATTCCCTAAATTGTCCAGACTGGCCTCAAACTTTAATCCCCTGCTTCAGCCTCCCAAGTACTGGGATTACAGACATGAACCACTACATTTGAGAAAAACATCTTATGTTTTATATCAAAATTACATACATTGTATATAGGAATATAAATTGGTGCAGCTGATTTGGAAAGCAATAGGGCATTTCCTTAAAAAGTGAAATAAAGGGCTGGGGATTTAGCTCAGTGGTTCCGCCGCCTGCCTCCCAAGCACAAAGACCTGAGTTTGATCCCAAGTACCAAAAAAAAAAAAAAAAAGTGAAATAGCTGAGTGTGCAATCCCAGCACTTGGGATCTGAGGCAGAAGGATCACTGTGAGGAGAGCAGCCTGGGCTACATAGTGAGTTCCAGGTAAATCTCAACTACATAGTGAGACCCTGTCTCAAAAAACAAAACAAAAAAAGTGAAATAGAGTTATCATCTAAGCCAACAATGCCATGCCTGGGTCTATTCCCAAGAGACATGAAAATAAAAGTCTACACAAAAACATGTACATGAATGTTGATACCAGTATTATTCACAACAGGCAAAAAATAAAAACAACCTAAAATGTCCAGGAAATGAAATGATGTAATGGATATTGGGTAGCTAGGGCCAGGGATGTAGCTCAGTGTCACCGGTGCCTGCCTGGCCAGCACAAGGTCCTGAGTTCAATCCCTGGAAAAAACAAAAACAAAAGCAAAAAGCATATATATATATTATTTTTAAAATTTTTTGGTACCAGGGATCGAACTTAGGACCTTGCATTTTCAAGGCGGGTGGCAGCACCACTGAGCTAAATCCCCAGTCCTATACAGTATTATTTAGCAATAAGCAGGAATTAAGTATCAGTTCATGCTACAGCATGCATGAATGAGACACAAAAGGCCATATATTTTCAAGTAGTCAGTGAGAAATGGCCAGAATCTACAGAGACCAAATGGCAGACTGGGAGGCGTGACTGCTAACGTACATGATGGCAGGGGTATTGTTTGTTTTGCTTTTTTGAGACAGTCACGCCATGTAGTTTAGGCTGGTCTTGAACTCAAAGTGATTGTCCTGCCTCAACATCCTGAGTGCTGAAGTTATAGGTATGCACCGCCAGATGTGGCTGGTATTTCTTTTTGTGGGGACAAAATGTCTAGAATTAGACCATGATAATGCTTGACGATCCTGTAAGACACTGAAAACCACTGAATTATACACTTACAGTGGGTGAATTGTATGACACATAAACTGCCTAAAAGTCATAATCACTGAGAAAACTAAACAATACAGAATTATAAAAATGAAGTCAAGCATGGTGGCACATGTCTGTAATCCCAGGACCTAGAAGGCTAAAACTGAGAATTACTGCAAGTTTAAGGCCAGCCTGGGCTTCATAGTAAATTCAAGCATGACCCATATAGTGAGACTCTACTTCAAAACAAACAAAACAGCCAGGTGTGGTGGCGCACCCCTGTAATCCCAGCACTCAGGAGGCTGAGGGAGGAGGATCTCTGTGAGTTTGAGACCAGCCTGGGCTACATAGTGAGTTCCAGGTCAGTCTCAACTACATAGTGAGACCCTGTCTCAAAAAACAAAACAAAACAAAACAAAAATACATATATATGATTAGGGCTGTCTGTGGTCTCAATAGTCCTGTGATGCTGTGATGATTAAGGGCAAGATTACATCAGCTGAAGACATCCAGGGTCTTTGAGAACCAAGTAGTAACAACAAAGTAAAAATAGAGAGAGAACAGTTTTCACCTGAGAAGGGGCAAATTCTTTCTCAGTTTAACTCATCCCACCTACTGTTGTGAGAACATTCTGCTCACCTCATCATCGGAATCAACATAAATCCCTCATCCACCTCATCAGCATAAGATCTTCATCATCACAGGATTATCGCTACCCTCTGACTCGTCAGATACTCCCTATGAGCCAACCCAATAAATAGTGCCTCGCTCTGAGAGTCTTTGTCTTTGCCTGCTCTGTGGCACTGACCTCCTGCCCCTCTATACTTTGAAACTATGCCAGTCTCTCTTATCTATTTTTCTTTAGCCCTCTTTGTTCCCCTTTCTAGACAGTCAGAAGATTGATCGACCTCTGTTACTCTCAAACAAACAAACAAAAATGGCTGGGTGAAGACCCTGCGTAGCACATGCACACACACACAAAAAAAACCCTGAGTACTGTTGTGAAAATAATCGTGGAATCCTTGACAGAGTCTTGGGAACCCCCAGTGGTCACTAGATCACCTTTCAAGAACTGTTTTCCTAAATTGAGTGTTTCGGTGCATACCTATAATCCTAGCACTTAGGAGGCTGAGGCAGGAGGATCACAAAGAGTTGGAGGCCAGCCTAGACTACATAGTGAGACCCTGTCTAAAAGAAAATAAAAGGACTGCTATCATACCTATCTTATCTATTTTTATATATTGGCTTCTTCAGTTTTTTCTTACTAATTAAAAAAAATTTTTAAAGTTACTGAATTCAGATTAACCCTAGCATTCCACATAAGATGGAAATAAATGTTTGAGGGGGTAGGGTGGGAGCAGCTGGGAAAATAAGAGTATTTGTTTATATAGCTAGATCTAATGGTATTTTCTAGCATAGATTACCCCCTTTCTTCTTTTTTGGGGGTGTACCGGGGATTGAACTCAGGTCCTTGTGCTTGCGAGGCAGACACCAGAACCACTGAGCTAAATCCCCAGCCCCTACCTTTCTTCTTTCTTAATGCCTAGCAAGTTCTTCCCAAACTGACTTGGATAACACTGTTTGTTTGTTTGTTTGTTTGTTACCAAGGATTGAACTTGGGCCCTTGTGCTTGCTAGGCAGGTGTGGAACCACTGAGCTAAATCCCTGGCCCTGGATAACACTTTTTAATTGCTTTTACTTTTTTTTTTCCCCCTCTGTACTAGAGATTGAACCCAGGGCCTTTGATATGAGCTACATCCCCAGACACTGACTGATTCATTTTTTTTGAGACAGGGTTTCATTATGTAACCCAGGCTGGCTTCCAACTCACAAGACCCTCTTGCCTCAGCTTCCTGAGAGTTAAAATTGCAGGTGTGCATCACCACTGCTATTTTTTTATTGCCTACGTTGGGTTTGAAGTCACAATCCTCCTACCTCAGCTTCCCGTAGTGCTGGGATTACAGGCTTGTGTCCCTGCATGTGGCTCCATTTTTTCAGTGATTTGAAAATTTCACCTTTCCCCTTGCTTATTCAATCTTTTAGAACCTATGTAGGCAACAATTATGTTTTTAGTAGCTATGGTTTACCTGACTATAAACTTCAAAACTTCAGTGAGCAAAACAAAAACCCTGGCTTCAAAGATCCTACATATTACTAGGGCTGGGGATTTAGCTTGGTGGCACCACATGTGTCTCCCAAGCACAAGGTTGTGAGTTCAATCCCCAGTACCCGCCCCAAAATGGCAGCATATCACTGGCAGTCAGTGAGTTATATGAAATAGACACGATAAGTATTTAAATTATAACATTTGTTTAAAGGTAAGTACTATTTGGGGAACTTTTTGAGTGATGAAATGTTCCTTTCTTGTGAGGGTAGTAGTTACATATGGCAAAATGCATTTAAATGCGCACTTCAAAAGAGCACATTTTATTCTATATCAGTTACAGCTGAATAAAGTCAGTTTTGTCCATTTAAATAAAAAGTTGAAAGAAAAGAAACCTCACCTATCTTATCATTCCTCGGTGTAAGAGGAAACCAGTATTAACACTTCTGGTCCTTCCAGACCTTTTCAAAAATAAATAATGCCTGCTGGGGATTTAGCTCAGTGGTTCCTTTGCCTGCCTTGCAAGCACAAGGACCCGAGTTCGATTCTCAGTACCAAAAAAAAAAA